CTTGATTGCTGGCTTGCGGTGAGCAGAGAAGGCTCTGTCCCTGGGCAAGAGCCAGAGCAATGTGCCCGTGCCCACCCAAAGCCCTATGCTGTCTTCTTCCTCATCACCTGGCCTGGAGCTCAAATCTGACACATCGAGGCTAAGCCAATGCAGAGTCCTGGCAGGAGCAGCTTCACCCACCTGGTGGGATGGGAGCCATGGAGCAGTGTCCAGCCAGCATCCAGAATCATTCTGCAAAGCTCAACTAATGGAGCAAACCTCAACAAGAGACAGCATAAGAATGAAAGGTGATTTTTTTGTACAAACCAGGTTTTGCTCATGCATGGTCCATTGTCTTATAAATTTTACTCACTTATTCTTTTGTATTCAGAAGCTTTAAGATATGTCTGCACGTGGTCTGTTGGGGATTATTTGTGGTGACAAACCATGAGGGAAGCTAGTTATTCAGTGCTCATTGTGTCTTCTGGGTTGTTATAATTATTGACAACCACGTGGCTGGTTTTTGAATGTGTCTTTTGCACCTTTTAAAAGTTTTGTCAGTGACTGTGAATCGTTTGTCTCTCCAGCTGTCCCACCTCTGTGAGTCATTAGGTAAAATTGCTGATTAACGCATTGTTCTTTTGTCTCTCTTTCTGGGTGTAGACTGTTGTACTTAGATTGCCCTTTGTTTCTTTCAATCTAGGTGTTTAGAGAAACTGCAGATAGTTGTGCTTGGGGAGTAGATGACCTACTAATTTAGGGTGCCATTAACACAGCTCGTCTTTCATCTCTTCCACTTCTTCCTGTTCTCCCATCCCCAGACATTCCTACTCATGCTCCATCCATGCCATAGCTGATATTTCTACTACACAGAAGTTTGTGTAGTGCTTCTGCTTCTCCTAGGCTGTGTTCTAATGGAGGGAAGGAGGAGGACTGAGGAATGTGCTTGATGCCATTTCCTAGTGGAAAAATCTCCTACTGGCTATGGCAGTAACTCAGGCTTGTTTCAGCTGCGCAGGGAGCAATGCTACAACTGCTAAAATTTAAGGTAGCTCATATGAACCTGCAGGACCATGACAAGAGAAGCTCAGTACACCTGTCTCTTTCAGGGTGATGTCCCTGGGATTTGTACTGTGGAGTCCAGAGCAACTTAGAGGGGCACACTTCTGTAAGATCCGGGGCCACTTTATAACCCTCATGAGCTAGCGTCTAGAGTCACTGAGGTAGCCATGGGTGTTAAGGAGGAAGCCATGGATGAGGTCAAACTTTGCCTGCTATACCATCTTTCTAGCAGTGTGGGAGAATCAGCTGGACCACCTGTATCTCCCCCAGGTCAGGAGCACTGTCCTAGTGAGTGCATTGTGTGGGAACTCACTTTGTCAGGAGACAGGCTATGAACCAAGGAAAGCTACAGTACACAGGCTCTACTCAAGGCACCCGTTTTGTCTGACACAGAGGAGAGGCTCTCTCCCTGCCAGCAAGGAGGCAAGACCCGAGGGGATGCAGCTGTGGCTGTGGCAGGAGCAGGAATACCAGGCTGGCTGCATTGGATGGCCATATGCTCCATGCAGGCAAGACCAGAGCATGACAGGCTGGAAGTGCTGGACCTTTATATGATGGCTGTACTGATGTTGTTGTATGGGGCATGGTAGGATGTTAGGCTTCTTCTGGTGGCAGCTTGCTGGCTCTGGCCAGTGGCATTGCTCCTCTCTTGTGTTCTGCAGTGAAATGGCACAGCCCCTCAAACCCTCATCATACACCCCCAGCACTATAACCATGAGGAGCTGTGGGAGCAGCATCTCCCACAGGGCTGCTGGTTCCTTTTGAAGGACTGCTTCCCTGACTGGTTACATGGTGGTCTTCTCTGCTTCAAGCAGTAGGTTCTGACAGGCAGTTGTTCACCTTCTTCCCCTGCTGCCCAAGAAAAAGCCCAGTCAGAGCTCAGGCTGCAGATGGCCCACCGGGATTGACTTGCCCCAAAGCAATCAAGTGCAGAGACTCATTGGCTTGTTAAATGGCTGGCACGGTACTACTGCAGGAGGAGGGGAAGGGGCCCTGGCTTCACACCAGGATGGAAAAAGAAAACAGTGATAGGTGGATTCTTCAAGTAGAGATGTGTAGGGATGCAGGTTTCCTGAAAAAAATCAGGCCTTTGTCATCTCACTGTTCCTAACTATAAAAATAAGAAAAAATGACCTGTCCTTACAAGGAGGTTGGAGACATTAATTTATGTTTGTGAAGCACTAAGTACTATAGCAATAAATTACACGGGAGATCCTTTGGGAATATTACTATTTGTGTATTCAGGGCAGGGTTTGAATAGGATATAGTAAATAAGGCATGAGGCCATGCACTTAACAATGAGGATAAAACAAGTTAATGAATAGTTGTTCATTAAATGTATGCCCTCCATGTGCACAGAAAGGCCAAAGGTCCTGTGTAAAAAGGTATATGCTATCCTGTAATTAAGGATTTTACAGTGCATATAAGAGTTACAAGTTTAGGTTGTCTGGGAAACTTTAAATCAGGCATTTCCTACCCCCTGAGTACCCAACTTTCCAACCCTAGCACTCTTTGAATGTAGGCTTTTTATGTAATTCAATAGAAATCATTTAAATATTGTGTTTCCCCTGCTTGTCTTGCAACAGCTGGCAGTAAGCTCCTTCTCCCGTGCTGCCTTCACCATCTGGAGCAGACTAAATGGCTTCCCGAGTTGCCTTAAATCCCATTGCCAAATCCCATCTTCTGGTCCTGTAATTCCTGTCCACCTTTCTCATAAAAGAACTCAGTCCCATTTCTTGACCAGCCTTGGCTTCATTAAACTTATGTCCCTATCAGGTCTTGCCTTTCCTTCTCTTTTCTTCTGTGCTTTTATACCATATAGACACGAATCTATAAGATGCTAATACATCTGCCTACTTTTATTAATATTAAATAGGACCATTAGTAATTTAGTATTCTGCAGTTTTTCATGTCAGATTAATTAGTTTAGAAAAGTGTTTAGTTCAGTCTAAATTAGGTTTTAGTGAAATAACAGCAACCCAAAACTTACTATATATGGAAACTCAGACTGACTGTTCTCTTTTTAAAGAAATCTGAGTTCCAGTATGTTGCTGAAAATAGTAAAGGTAAATAAAAAGCAGAGAACTGGATCACAATCAATTATCATTCAGAAACAAAAAGCAAATAAATATGTTTCAATTTTGTATTGCAAATGCATTATAAATGCAGTCAACAGGAAATAAATATCAAACAGTAAAATGGTGACAGAGCAGATGCGGTACTGATGCTGGAAGAGCACTGATTTCAGTAGCTTTGCAGTTGTTGAACATGTGCCAGCTAAATTTGGCCCAACTTGTTCTGTGAAACAAAAAATGTAACGATTTGGAATACTGATCTCTGATCAGTACTCTAAATAATCATTTTTCAATATATGGTAGAAAGAACAAGTAGTGCAGGGGAAGCTTTGCCATGGGCATCAGCAGGAAGCAGAGATGGCACTTGCTTCCATTTGCCTTCTGCTGCTGCTTCTAATCTGCTTCTACTCCAACTATTCTAGTGGTTTATCGCTTTACAACTTTTCTCTCCCATTATTTCATGAGACAATCTTTGGCTTTGTTTTTCACACAATTTAAATAATCAAGCACGTTGGTAGTTCTCATCACTGAATTTTTCATATTGCCACCAACATGACCTCTCTTTGTTTTGAAGAAGACTGGCATAGTGGTGCTGTCATCTCCACCTTTCTGAGCCTCCACAGCTTTGCAGAGATCGCACACCAATGCTCAGAGACTACAATTTTTGCTTGGGACCAGAGAACCATTGATTCTCCAGCCACTACAAACTCTCCTATTTGTGTTCTAGATGAGATTCTCAACCTGAAAAGGGACACTCATTCATGTGAATTCAAAATTCAGTTGTACGGTATGCACTGTGTTCTGCAAAATCTTTTTAAAAGAAAATAACATTAAGACAGCAGACAGATGAAATTTAAAGAAAAGAAACCAAGCCTTCCCTGCTGACAAACTCATTTGCATTGCTCTAAGAATTACAGAATGAAGTAAAATTATTTTATTGCCTTCTTTCATCATTATGCCACAGTACTAATTATGCTCTTGGTGTTCTAAAGTCTATAATGCTATTTCCTGCCACTGAGTTCCTATTTCTTTATTAACTTAATTCTTTAAACACATGCTTTATGCCTCTAGTAAGGACCTGGTAACAGTCTGTCATCTTACAATGACACCAGTGGGTAAGCCTTCGTTCAGTGTAAAGGTAGAAATGGCTCTGTAGAAATGAAGCCATAGAAAATGGATTAATATTTTCCCGGATGATCAGCATATGCTGCCACAGAGTGAATATGAAATCATCACATTTTAATATGGAAAAGTGATGAAGTCTAGAGCATAAATAATACAAGTTACACAAGCATATCTCTGCATTCATATTAGAGACTGGTGTTTTTCGGTGTATGGAAGGTGCTATACATCCTGAAGAATACTTTTCTTTGCTCTAATCAGTGCTTTGCATTGACTTCAGTAAGAGTGACCTTTCATTTAAGTATGTCCAGCTCACTTTAGAAAGAGCTAAGGAACTGCAACCATGAAGCAAGCACATCTCTGATAAAGATGGACCTACTGCCACAGCTTTGACAAGCTGAAATTTTAGCATGGAAAAAAGGGTCATTGCTTTCCGGTCTCGAAAACGTTTGCAAGTGGGCAATATTGCACATAAACACAGGCAGACTTAATAGTAGCCAGTTTCAAGGTGCTTCCCAATCACTGCTAGAAAGAGATGCTTGAAATATGGCTCTGTACTTGCTAAGAGTATAAGAAAGTTATTGACACAGACAATACACTATTGAAGGATTAACCACCAAGGAGAAACAGTCCCTTCTGGATTCAAGCTTACACTAGTAAAGGGAGTGCCTAATGGCAATTTAGTCTGATGTCCAAATGCAATCAGAAATGTTTTGATTTAGTCATTAAATTAACACTGTGCCTTCTGCCCGTGTCTTCTAGGGGGCTTTCTGGCAACTGGGGAGTTCTGCACAGAAGCTGACCCTGAGACACCCCTGGGATAGGAGCTGTGAGAGGTGATGGCAAAGGGTTTGGCACTGCACTGGCTGTAAAGCTTCTGGTGATGGGCTGGAGAGAAGGCCTCGGCCTGGGAAAAGTGGTGAGTTATTCCTGCCCCTTTCTTCTGTTTGAGTGAAGGGAGGCAACCTTGGGACCGGGGCCAGAGGCTAATGAATGCTGAGCCTATAGGAAATTACAGCATTAAGACTAAGGCTCGAGTATTAAGGAATACGTTTAAGCCTAAATGAGGTTTCCAAGCATTAGGATGCCTGTCATCAGTACACGTGCTTGGCAAAATTTAGTGGTGTGTTTTCCAACTGTACCTCCAGCAGTTGTCATAGGTTTATTTGCAGACACTGTCAGATATGACTTTAGATTCTTTATTTTCATGGCCATATTTTTCTTTCCATTAAATGATTACAGGTGCAATTCCTCATAAAGCCAGTGGAAATCATACCCAAATATTTGGCAACAAAAACTTAGCCTGTTGTTCACTTGACACCAATGTAGTATTTTTCAAAGTCGTTTAATTAGACTCTAATCAGAAAGTTGCTGCTTATGTTTTTATTAAGTTGATGGTAGACAGGTTTATTTTTAAGAAAAAACCCCTCTTTTTTTCCTCAGTAAAGTACAAAACTTCTGATACTGGCTGAAGCAATGCGTAAGTGAGGCAGATCATGGTGAGATTCTGTTTGAAGAGCATTGTCACTGTCCCTGTCCTAACTGCGACCCTTTATGTGTTCAACCTCCCCTGCGGGAAGACCACTAAATTAGACAAATTATTGCAGTGATTTTGTCATACAAGCAAGGGCTTTAGGCTAATTTAGATCAGCAGAATAATTTCTCATTTTTACTGCATTTAAAGATGTTTTGTGTCTTACTTTCTGTCCTGTTGCTAATTATTTTAAAAGGGGCTTTGTAATAGAAAAGGAGATCTGTCACCGAACCAGTCATTTTTCTGGCACGCTGCACTGCGAGTAATGCAATTGCTTAAATAAAAATGGTGCAGCTTTAACATCATAATCTAATCACTCATTTCTTTGCCTTTCATTCTAATAATATAAGACATAATGAACTCTTGGTAGATATAGTAATACCCCGTGAGTATTTCTATAGGATTTATGTTGTCATTTAATATTACATCAGAGAAAGCAGGACAAAACATAATTCTTGCCATTTTGCTCACTCATTTTGTGATTTTTACCTTCTCCCACTATCACTGAAAAGAAATGATCAAATTAACCATTTTAACAGGCATTTGCTAGTAGTGCATACGTACCATTCATTTAAATGACTTGTGAAATCAAACAGAGACTCTCAGATAATGGGGCCCAGTCTCCTTTCCCTGCATAATGACTTCAAGGAAGATCCACCTCCCTCTCAGGGAAAAGAATGGATAGCTGGGAATGCTCAGGGGAATAAAAGGGTTTAAAGCATGGCACATGAAAGGCTGAGCAGAGGAGTCTTTGAAAAATAAATGCAGGCTTCAACAAAAGATGAGAAAGGAAAGGGTAGAGGGGGAGCGCGGACTTCCCATAGATATGGGCAGCGCATACAGAAGAGGTTGCTGAGGCAATGCATAATGCCCCAATGGAAGGGCGAATGTGCTGGAGGTGTGGGGGGCTTTAGGCAGGGAAAAAAATGCATTTTGATGAGGGGCACGGGATGTGCAGGGGCTGGCTGTGCCTAATGGGGGAGCGAAGAGATCTGAAAAGGAAGCCAGCCTGGAAAATGACACCAATTATCTCAAAATGAAGTGTTTGTATTTCCACTAGGATGAGCTATTCTTCACAATCACAAAATGATGAAGGTGAGGAAAAGAGAGCTGAGGCCCGTTTTAATATTCTTAAGATGACAGAAATGATAATAACCCTTTTCCCGTATTTCAGATTTAGATCTAACTGAAAATAAAAGGCACCTGATTTCTCATCAATCCAGAGTGAAACAGATATCATAATACTGCCTCAAAACTACACATCTTCTGTCTGGTTTGTCTGCATTTGGATTGCAGTGAGGTTACGTTGGAAGGTTCTCTTAGAGCAGGACTGGATTAGGCTGTAGCATTTCCAGTGAGTGTTTACATCCATTTCTCCAGACAACAAGCAAACACAGACGTGATCAAAGAAAATGGTAGGTAAGCTGTTGGCTGCTATCTTTTTAAACTAGCATCCTCTGAGTTCAAAAGAAGAAAAAATAAATAATTTTTAGTCATCTTCTCAGTTTTTGTTACCAGGAAGCCGTTGATAGGTTAAACATCTAATTAAAAAGGAAGACAGCAGGACTTCAGTGAAGTAACAGATTTGAGCTGTTGTAGCTGAAAGAATGATTTGGCATAACATTGTTAACACTTCAATTGTGTCAAAGCTAGCAACTTTATGGAGATGTGCTAAAAGATCATCACTGCCTGACAAATTTCCAATAATGTACATTTAGCCACCTCCAACTGTCCAAGAAGCAGCTGATTCACAAGACTTACTCACAAGCCTACTGCAGCTACAACTACATGAGGCTTTGATGAACCTCTAAAGGAGATTTAAGGATTTCTCAGCAGATTTTGGTGCAGGGACTCATTTCACTGAATTTCACTGTAGGCGATGGCTGGTGGGAGTTTCTCAATCTTCTGGGATAGCCACTGTCTTATTTTGCCCCTTGAGAAACTCCTCTTTCTCTCATGGCACAGGTTCATGGGAAATACCATATCTTCAAGGCAGCAGCCTGCAGTTATCTGAATTTTTTGGCTGGTGGAAGAGGGAGCTTCCAGTGCAGTAGACGAGAGCAGAAGTGTGGAGAAGAGACTGTACAAAAAGGAGGATAATGAAAGATGGTTTCAGCAAGGGGGCTCAAGAAGAGAAGGCAGGAAAGATGAGAAGGAAAAGGTGTCAGACCTTAAGTCTGGATGAATGAGGAAAAAGCGGCAGACACTGCTAAAGCAGTTGAGAACCAGCAGTTGATAGCCAACAGGAAGACATATGCAGTACTTGACCCTGCAATCTCCTTCGGGCTTTGAGGCCACTCTTCTGGGTCTGAAAGCCTTCTGGGAATGTGTGTACCTCAGCTAGATGCTGGAGGTCTTTGTAGCAGAAAGTCCGCATGAGGATTTAGGGCCCACTACTCCATGGAGTGTTGGAATGCTGAGAAGCAGAGCTCCTGGTTTGGTTTCATCCAACAGGAATCCATTTTGTGTGTACCAGCATCACTTTGAGAAACTAATATGTGGTGAGTGGAGACAGTCGGGATTTGCTTCAAAGCTACCCTATTGCTATGAAACAAGTTACTAAGCTAGACAGAATAGTTGTGTCTGAAAAATATACGAATATGTCTCTTCATGACCATGATAAAGTATTTTTATCAGATGCTGTATTATTATTATTTCCTTCAGGATTCTACTTAAAGGTATATGTTTATGTATAAAAAGAAATTATATGATCACTGCTTATTGTTTCTGCCTTCTCTGCAAAATGGAGAAAACTAAAAAGAACATTTTCTGAACAGGACAACTTTGTGATAACACAAAGAACTCCACTCATACTTTGCTTTTCTGCCATGCTGTAAATATTTCATACCCAAGTAAGTTTGTGTAGTAGCTGACAGATATAGTGATTTTGCAAGTATAAATCTTTGAATAATGTCACTTGTGGTTTTTTTAAGACGACCAAATAAATTGAAAGATCTTCAGCCCTGAAGAAGGGAGGAAATAGTAACCACCTGTGAAACTTGATTTCTGTATTTGCACCACAATAGTGAATTATTTGCAGGTCTATTGCCTGACAGTTAACTTTTGATTTCATAAACCCTAAAGAATAGAATCTGAGCCTTCAACTTTGCAGATGTCCGAAGCTCTGCAGAATTTACATTGATAAGCTCTACCATCTTGAAAATAAGCCATTTTTTAGCTTTCATAAAAGTAATTTTCTTTCATGTTCTAGTTGTGTGAAGTTTAGCTTGTGGTTGAGAATCTCAGACCATGGCCACTTGGGCAGTTATAGCTAGAACGACACTTCCCAGCCCTTGCTCTGCACCTGCATCCTGTGCCCCAGCTGTGGTCTGGAAGTCAAGCGTCTGTTTTGGATGAGGGTCAGGGGTTACCAGCAGTGGTGGAGAGCCACTCTTGTGCCTTTCTAGCTCCCAGACTGGCCTAGATCCCAGCAACCCTCACCACACATACACGAATTTGTTTCCGTTGGGCCCCTATCCATGGAGCTGTGCCTTTGTTATCGGAAGTCCATCTTCATGAAGGCTTCAGACATCTTCTACAGTAGAAGATGTCCTTTTACTTACCCTTCACTATTAATCATGTGGTAGAAATAAGCAGGGCAGACTTGGTTTAGTTCAATCTGTGATTCAGGAAACCCCAGAATGTAGCAACGTCATCCTCTGTTGATAATAATCCAGAAGTCAGTATTTAAATTCAGAATTTGGATTGCCTATTGATGATTGCACCTATCTGCTACCTCATTCATAGAAATGAGACATGTGATGGAGTAAAAGACATTAATGCATCTCTCAGTGCAGAACAGTTCTCTCTATTTAAATCTTAGCCTAGTCTAGATTTCAGTGCTTTTCAAGATGTCCATAAGAAAATAGCTCCGGTCTGGAGGGTTTACTGTTAACAAATATTCTTTGCTCAAATATTTCAAGACATTTTTATCAGTGAATCTACAGCTTGTAAAATCTGTGGGCTAATAGCAGGGCTGAGCACAGGGGAAAAAGTGAACATGCAAGCCTGTACGTTTCAGCTTTAACTTGGTTGCTGTATACTGTTCCACAGCTGAACCCTTTTGAAAGGCTTCTCAGGCTTCTCAATTATTGTGTAGTGTTTGTGATGTGGAATCTTATCCAGCAGGGAAAGAGATAAGACCACCACAATTATTTCACTTATTACTTTGTAATGGGTCAATAGACTACAAGAAGGTAGCTTGACAGGATCCTAGAAATCCATTCCTCTGCTGATTGTGACAGCTGGAAAAGGAGAACTATGCCCTGGAAAAATGGCTGTAACATAGGTGACAAAAGAAAAAAAAACCTATGTAGTGTGAACTCCCTATGTGGGTTTGGATCTCTGTGTATGAAATACAGAATATAGTGACAGAAAACAGTGGCATTTGTAAGATATTCAAGGCATAGTCACCGAAGTCTAGACCTGTGTTGAATAAAAGCTATTAAATAACTGATTTGGGAGGGAAATTATAGCCACATAACATGGTTTTCTGGGGTTACTTTGAGCTGTTAAGGTCTACAGTCTGCTAGGTCTTGTCAAAGAATTCAATGTAAACTAATATCTGGTCACACTTTTTTTTTTTTTCCTAGTGAAGATAGGTTATAAAGTTGTATCTGGCATGAGTGGTTTTCCCACAGCTTATTTCTTCCTTTTGTGGTATGACAGTTCTCTGCGCCGTTTTCTGAGAACTCAGAGCTGAGCAAGACTAACCAGTAAACACAACTGTAGCAGGGATCTGGGCAGCAGAGCAATGCCCTCATAATAAAAAATTGATAAGAGCAGAAGTTTTCCTAGGAATCTCCCTGTTCTGACAAGATGAGATGTGTCTTGGGGAACCTTTGAACCTTGGCTCTGTCTGTCCCGCAGCTGTCAGCAACGTGGCTGTGCTGTGCAGAAGGGCAATACCTGCTTGATAGAGCTGTGCTGGTCGAAACCTTCCTGTAATACCGCTGCAGCAGCAAAACTGCAAGAAGGATGTATATAGATATTCATGTGTCTGTCTCACTCCATGTCCCGGTTTGAGGTAAAACCAGACCAATTTTGTGTTCTGTAACTTCACCCAGACCAATTTTGTGTTCTGTAACTTTACATTTTAGCTAGGCCTCTTCTAACTCTCTGAAATTAACGGCATATTGTGGAGAAAACTGCTCGTTCTCAGAGTGATAAGACCAATGTTTGTGCTACGTGCCAGGGAATGGTGTGCAGAGAGGCCCTTGCTTATACTTATTGCTATAACAACCAAGGTCAGCCAATTTTCGTTATTTGCCCCTTAGAGGGTGGGAAACAGAAAAACGTAGAGGGGTCACATCTGTGGGGAGGAACAGACAAGACAGGTGACCCAAACCTGACCAACAGGGGTATTCCATCCCATCTGCCCCATGCTCAGTATAAAAGCTGACGGACCAAAGGGTCAACTCTCTTCCTGCAATGGCCGAAGTCCAAAGAGGACCCTGTCTGTTCATCTGCCTTTGATCCCGATCCGTGTGTTCCTGACTCCAGAGCTGGAACCCAGTTCCCATCCATCACTGAGTCCAGTCTGGGACTTCCCCAGTGCCTGCTGGTGATGGGACTGTCATCCTGGGAGCTTGATACGGTTTTGTATATATATTTTGTATCTATTTCATTATTTTCTTCTCTCTCTTTTTTTTTTTTTTTATACTAATTTTTTCATTAAAGTAGTTTAGTTAATTCTAAACTTTTTAATCTCCTTATCTCTTCCTCTCCTCTTTTGGGGTGGGGGGGGAAGGGCCATCTGTAGGTTCGGTTGCGGTGATTTCGGCTGAAACCACAACACTCCACCATTTTATCAGACTAACATCATGGCACTTCAGCTTCTCTCAACAGTCCTTTAAGGAGAAACATGGGTGCCAAGAACAATTCTCCTTTCTAAGAAAGAGCTAGAGGTGGAGGGCCATTGAACTGCAGTGAGTGGTGCCCAGCAGAAAGAAGGTTCTTAAAGGTACAGTTTGACACCTCTCCTACTCCATGAGTCAATGCCTTTCTCTATCCATGCTTCAGCGATTCTCTCTCCCACTAGGCTTAAATTCTGCACCTCAGCAGCCAAGAGGACGGGTAATAAATCCCGAATTCAGACAAGGGGGGCTTAAGATGGGAAATCTCAGCCTGCGGGGTGAACAGAGAAGCTGAAGATGGAGACGATGGCTGAAGCCTGCCAAGATTCAGGGAAAAATGCAGCAGCATGCCAGATCCTCGCTGGATTTGAGCGTATCAGGCTGGTAAGTGTCCAGTAAGGGGGCCCAACTGGGTCTGCAGTGCTGGTTTTGTGGTACAGTATCCTAGCCACTAAAGTGGTTTCACTACAGAACTCATCTCAAAGCCAGACCAGTTTTCCAACCTAATGCAGGGCAAGGCCTTGAAGACAAATAACAATGTATTTATATAGTGAGTTTCTTTTAACCAGCAGACATGAAAAAAAGCACAGTGATTCCAGATTACAATGTCAGAGATACATGAAGAACATCTGTCACTATGACAGAATCATAAATCATCCCGCTGAAATCCTGACAAGCCTTTTTTTCATTGGCAAAGTAGTTCTTTAAAGTGGGATATAATTAAGTTGCTTAGAGCCACATATTAGCAATTTTAAGCCTGTTATTTTTCTCATGTGAAAAATGCCAGATGAAACGTACCAGTTTTGTTTTGTTTTAAAATGAAGCTCGTTTAAAAAAATGACCACTATATACCACAGCAATTCAGGGTGCTGCTAGGAATTGTCCCATGTGAAGAAATTATAAGGAAAATAAAGCTGTGAGTAAATGAAACAGTGCTGTAGGTGCACCAGCAAACCATCTTGATGAGGAAGACAGATAAGTGGTAAGAGACCAGTATAGCTGCATCAGGAATTCTTCAGTGACCTGAATATCAAACAGGAATCCTACAAAGAGTGAAAGCAAGGACATGTAAGTGAGATGAGTAATAAAGCAGTAGCATAAACATCTAGGGATAAAACTAGGAAGACTAAGTCACAAAATGAGTTACAACTTTCCTGGAGCATAAAATGGAAGAAAAAGAGGTTCTATAAATACCAAGAAGTTAAAGGAAGAGAAGGGCAGAGGCACACATAACAGACACCCAGATTAGAGTGAATTGTTCTATTGTTTATTTTGTTACGTTCTTCATGTTCAAATAAACATTAATGACAGGTACTTAACAACATAATTTTTTTTTTTTAACAAGAGGAAGGACATATGCCAGAATAGGGAAAAAACAAGTAAAAGGATGTTTTAATAAATTAGACATACACAAGTCTCTAGAGCTTGTTGAAATCCACTCAATACATACTGGGCTCTCAATTTATCTCTTAGAGTTCCTGGAAGAGTCGATAAGTCACCAGGACCTGCAGCAACTATGTAGCCTACAATGGAAATGCAGTTAGGATCACACTCCCAATTTTTGTTAATGATCAGAATCTGATATTACAATGTACATTTTGCAAATTATTTTAAACAAACCACCCACTCAGTTTAAAGACTTGTTCTTCCTTAAATCTTGCCATCATAGCACATGACTTAAAAAAGAAGGAAAGGAAGAATTTAATAAAGTTTCTTAAATGTGGCATTGACAGCAGGCTCAGATTTGGGCACTATTAAGTTGTTGGCTGCAGCCCTGGTTTGCAGGGTTATAACCATTTCTGCTTTTAAAAATGGGAGATGAAGAACCTAGGGAATTACAGAATACTCTGCCTAACTTCAATACCAAGAACTATAGTGGGACAAATTATTGAGAAGTAAATGCATACACACCATAAGAATAATAAGGTGATAAGAAACAGATGATGTGAGTTTGTCAAACTAATCTATTTTCCTTCTTGAACAAGGCAACTGGTCCAATAGATATTGACCCAAACTGTATCTTGACCTAAGTAATGGCTTTTGACACTGTCCTGTATGCTCATAAATGAACTGGGGAAAGGTGTCCCCATTTGAAATCACTCCTAATTCAATCCACTGTTAAATGTAAACCTAACACATGACTGTTGGTAGTTGTGCTAGAAGAACGACGAGGAGGAGTCTTGCTCAACTCCTAATGGATAAGCTTCTGTTCAACATTCCAATAAGGAGTTAGATGACAGAAATATTATATACTTATAAGCTTGGTAGACGACATCATGAAAAGATTTGTGAAATGTGCTCAAGGACAGAATTAGAATTCAAAAGTAACTCAATAGGTTCTGAAATCCAACATTAAAAATTTGAACAAAGACAATTACACAGGACTACATCTGGGAGGACAAAATCAAAAGCACAACCACAGAATTCCACTTCAGATACAGATCTAGTGACTAATTAGGACCATGAATGAGTCAACAGTGTGATGCTGTTGAGGAAAAGAGATAAATATAATTCTAGATTCTCTTGAATTGCCTGCTTGCAACATTATACATAAGATGAGATGATTAGTGCTCTTTTCGGCACTGGTGAGGCCTCAGGTAAAATACTGTATTTTACTCTAAAGCACCATAATTTAAGAAAGACATAGATACGCTGGAAACAATCCAGAGAATATCAAGAGCAATAAGTTTTGAAAATCGAATCTATAAAGCACGGTTGCAAGTTTTGCTATTGTTTTAATCTAGAAAATATAAGGATTTATGGAGGTCAACAGTCTTCAAGTATATAAAAGGTTATTATAAAGAGGGTAGTGATGCATTTTTTTCATGCTTACTAAAGATATCAGCAGAACGTGAAGGAAAATAGGTATTACAGTAACATGTTGTAACTAGAAGAAAAGATTATCACTGGAGTATATTACCCAAGAAGGTTGTAAAATCCCTGTCTTCAATGATTTTAGGTGTAAATCAGAGGGACTGCCATCTACAATTATCAGAGTATTTTGGTCTTTCTTTGAAATTAGAAGATGGACTAGGGGAATGTTTTGTAGTACGTGGCTGAGATCCCTGGAACCATAACAGAGCGTGCAAGTTATTACAAGGTAATCCATAACAGGGTTTCACTAAGAAAACATTTGAAAATTCCATATGTGGTCCCGGGCATATTCATTGGCCATTATGGAAGATTGAACAGGTTGTTCTCTGGACTTCTTTAAAAAAACCAACTTGTTTTCCTTTGATTTTGTGTTGTGGGTTTTTTTGGTTTGTTTTTATTTTACCTCAGGAAGGTTAGATACAGCTTTGATTAAAAATATTGAGGAATAACAAGACTACATAACCCCTTGAGATCCCATCCAAGTCTGCATTTCTCTGATTCACATGCAATCTACAGTATTTCTTCTGGGTTGTTGAAGAGCTTTGCAAGCACAAGTTAATTATTAAACTAGTTCTTTTCCCAGAGCAGCAATGACCTAATCATTTATGATAGTGCTCAAATGAGGAATTAAACAAACATATCCAAAACAAACACAGATCAAATCATCTTTGCCAATGGAAAAGGACAAAATCTTGTTTTCATGCCAGTGGGTCTGCAAAACAACAGCATAGATACAGACGTCAGTAAAACTAACAAGTCAGGACTTCTCAATCAGTGTGAATTTATGAACTTTAGTAATTCTTTTTATTCAAAATTTTAGGATTTTTTCTAACTTGGAGAATTAGAAAAATGGGAATGGGAAATGGGAATGAGAAAAAAAAGTAAGCGTTTTGGAAAGGTTGTAAAGTTTTAAGGGCTTGAATTACAACTGAACATTTCAACATTCAGAAACCAAAATGTGTTGCAGTCATGGTGTAACGCATATATATCTTAGGTAAGGGAGCACAGTGAACATTACAGGAACCACAGTCCTCCAGGGACCCCAGCATACACAAGAAAATGTCAACTAGAATTACAGTGCAAATAAAGTAGCATTCTGCAATATGATATTTTTTGTGTTAGGTCAAAATATATCTTTTTACAATCATACACCCAAAGTAAAACCAAGCAAAACAAAGTTTTTCAGAAAAATGTGCTCTTTGTTAGAAATTAAAACCAATGTGAAACTTCTGGCAAATTCTAATCACTACTTAATATATGAAAAAAACTGTCTCAAAAATGTTTTCTAGAGAAATCTGTGCTCATCACAGTGCACCGTGGTGTTGACCCCAGTAAGACTGTAAACACTGGTAGTGTTTGCAGTCGCCATTGTTATTTTACTGTAGCAAAAGATGGTCATAAGCCTCAAAGATAAGATCAGGGAGATCTTCTCTCTCACAAACAAGAGAAACTTCTCTCTCACAAACAAACATCAAGGCTTGTGAATTTTGCTGTCCAAGTGGGTGAATACAGACCAAAGGAATCTGGCTAGCTTCAAGTCTATCTACCATTGGACACTCTACATTTGTTGAACACCAGTAAAACACTGCAGAAGTTTAAAGATCCTGGGACAAACTCATCAGGTGTCAAGGACAGCCTTAATCCCAAAGCACGGAGGGATAATTAGAGCCAAGTGAACAAATCTCAGCTCAGCTGAGCCTGCTTAGGGCAGCCCTGGTGAGGCGGTTTGGTTGCTGGGACCCATAAACCTGAAGGTGGACTGTTTGGTTTGTAGGCCACGATGTTGCATACAGCCCCATGGCACACGCCAACAGCCTAAAGGGTCTTAAGCAGCTTAAATAGCTTTAAGCAGCTTTGAAGACTTAGACACTTTAAGCTTATAAAGCAGTTTAAGCTGCTTAAACTGCTCTAGGACTTTAACAAGGGCCCCACGATGCTGCTCCTTGCCAGGCGAGTGAAAAGAAGCTGGCTGCTCGCTGTGGCTTCCTTGCCATCAGCTGGAAGGAAGGAAGGAAGGAACTACAGGGTTGCCACAGATCCAGCCACGAGTCTGCGCAAAGGCAAGCAACTGATATGGGCATATTTTGGCAATGATGTTGTATAAAATAATGACAAGTATACTCTCTCCCCTTGATGAGCTCATGTTTCTTCCTCTTTTGTAGCTATTTGCCTTCCCCAGCCACCACCTTCTCTTTTTCTATTTTCGCCCATTTTGCACAGGCTCTTTCAGTATCTATTTCCTCTCTCATTAGTTCTTCCTAAAGAGATGCTGTTAATGCAGTGATATACTCTTACGAAGAAAACATGTCTCGATTCAGCCTATTCAGTCCACAGAACCGTGCTGGGGGCAACCGTTCATTTGTATTCCTACAGTTTAACATAAATCTAGACCTTTTTTTCCCAAGAGATGGGCATGAGGTGGCAGAAGCAACGCGGAAAAACCTAACCGTGTGATTCCAGTAAGTACCAGTGGCAGCTGTTGGAGTATCACCTCCAGAAGCAAGTAATCAGAAGGGCTAACACTGTTCAGAAGGAGGAGTGCAATGTGCCGAATCTGCATGGCGTTTCCTGGCATTTTGGAGGTTTCAGAAATGATGTCAGAGGAGGAAGTTTGAGGACAATTGTCCAGGAAAATGGTTAAATGTGTTTTCCTATATTGATAATCTCCTAGGGCTGAAAGGACTTTGTATTCAGTTTTCCTTCCTCCTCTCCGAATTAGGGGTACGCAGCACAAACCACGGGTTGTTCTGCTTTTACCAAAGGATGTAACACCTCCTCCCCCTTACATATAAGTCAGCCACGTGCAACTGCATGGGTGCAGTTAATTTAGTGACAATTGCCTCCATGCAATGACAACTCACTTTGAACAGCCATGTTAATAACTAGCGCTGTGGTGACATTGCTCCAGAGAGCCTGTGCTGGATGTGATGTCCTTGTTGCTGAGGATGCACTCAGGCCTGCACCATCTTGCTTTTCTCATGTTGGAACTCCCTTTCCAGCCACTTTAGTAGGAAAATTCTGCTCTTCTCTTTCATATCTTTCACTCCCTTCCTGGGTTCATATCCTAACTTCTCAGGTGTTCTCTCTCCAGAGTCATCAATTTAACTGGCCCTGTATTTTTCACAGGCTTATGAAAGTCCCACCACATACGACTGTATATATCACACACTCTAATCACAATTTGCCTGTGAAATGTAACTGTAAACCTTATCACACTCAAACAATGTGTTCTGAAGACTTGAGGGTGTAAGCAGGAAGTGGGATCATGATCAGCTTTACTCACTGCTCTATTTTTTGCTGATTATCTATGTTATGCATTCCTAAATGATATTGCATATTGCCATAGTGTGTATTGCATGAGAAGCATGTCCAATGTGGCATATTTATACAAGCATCACTTAACACTTTTGTTGAGGCTTGATTTATACCAAATGCTATTTTTTCCCAGTAGCCTGAAAGTATGTTTGTCTCCATTTTTATGGAAGAAAATGATTTATAGCATGATCTATGCTTTCCAAGTAATCAATGCATTTTAATCCCTTTTCCCATTTATCCATTGATCAATTATTACTTCCTTCAAAATGATGATGCCAGTAGGATTCACTGGCTTGCAAGTGATTAAATTATTTCTGCTTCTTAACTACAGATTTGATATGTTCTCATCAGGTGACAGTCCTGGCAGTAATGGATTCCTTCTTAGTGGAGTACTGGAACCACTGGAGCATGGTTTCCTTGGGTTCATGCTCTGTGTCTACAGCATCCTCCTGGTAGTCCCAGCTCCTTCTCAACCTCCAGCCAGTTTGGGAAGAGAAAGGGCAGGTTGCCTGGGTTGCCCCTGGGCTTTCTGGCCAGTGGAACAGTGTTAGCTGCTCAGTGTCCAGGCAGCTCCGAGGCTGGAGAAGGTGAGCTGCACCCACCATTCCTTCAGTTTCGACACTGATTTGGGTCTCGCTCTCCTCTAGGCAGCTGCTCATTTGCATGAATGATTAATGATGGGAATTAATGAGGTTAATTAAGGTTAATGATAAGCATGGAACAGTCATCTTTTTTGAACTCTGAAAAGCCTTATGTAGTCACCTATTCATAACAAACACATTTTCTTTATATCTGAGAAGAAAAAGGTCCCCTTTGTTTTAGGAGAGAGTTTGGGTACTTTTAGATCTGAAGGAATTTTTTAACATTTATAAATGAGAAAACATATAACACCAGGCATCAGGTCATGTATACAGGCTGCAATTCAGCAGACGTTTACGCGTACGCCTAATTTTCCATTGGAACTCGATTTCCTTTGGCTTCCAGGAAACTTTAGTGCATATTAAAACTAACTCTGCTGATTTGAGGCAGAGTGGCACTGCGTGTTTGCATGCCTTGATAAACTTTTTTGGCGCATGTGCCAAAAAAATTTTGTTGACTGTGTTGAGCGTAGTGAGGCCACACATTGTACTGACCCACCAATGGAAAAAGAAATTTTTCAGAGCTGCTGTTGGACTAAATATCCAAGTGCTGGCAAGCTGCCGGGGGCCTCTGGCTGGGCAGATCACCAGGTGTTGGCCCATCATAGAGGGTTACTGCTCCTATTACCAGCTGCTCACACACAAAAAATGTATGGGGCAGCAGACTCACCCTTCCTTCCTTCCCAAAAACTCAAGATAAATGTCTGCTGGATGAGTCTGTAGGATTACAGCTGACCTCCCTACAGGACAGCATGGGTCTTCATAACCTAAATTGCCACTTTTTCTCATCCTTCTGTCTTCTTCAGCATCTTCTCCCAAACCTTGACATTCCCACAACTGTTTAAGTTTTCTTAATAATCTTGTTTATCTGAAATGAACTGGTAGTTTCTTTTAACTTCAAATAATAACTTTCCTTTACATTCATTCCTAGTTCTTTTTTTTTTTCCTTTTTTTTTGTTTTTTTTTTTTGTTTGTTTGGTTGGTTGGTTTTTTCTTTTTTCTTTTTTTTTTTTTTTTTTTCTTTTTTTTTTTTTTTTTTTCTTTTTTTCTTTTTTTTTCTTTTTTTCTTTTCTTTTCTTTTTTTTCTTTTATTTTCCTTTTTTTTCCTCCTTTTTATTTTCCTTTTTTTTTTCCTTTTTTTTTTTTTCCTTTTTTTTCAGCTTTTGTGGCTAGCTTCTTTGGCTAATGGCTGATATACTGAATTGTCTGAATTTATAACATGTCTGTGAATCTGATTTCCCTAGATTGCAACCCCAGCCCAATTCTCTGGCTCTGCTGGAAGCTATCCTAAGAGGTGGGTAGAGTTTTAGGTTTTAGGAAGAAAGCCAGTGTTTGCATTCTACCAATATTAATTTCATGCATTCCCTCTTGCATTCTCAATTCTGTAATTGGTCTGTGCTTCTGCCTCCACCCATATCCTGCCTTGACACACATCCCTGTGCGGATGCCGGGGGGGAATGAGGGGTGAGCCAGCCAGCCTGCAGGCTGAGTCACCCCACCGAGGCTGAGTGTCATCTGGCAATGAGGATGGAGAAGAAGGAAGCGTGCCAGCAAAACAGGTGACCTGAGCAATGCATCGCACCCCACATGCCAAAATGGATATTGCACAACGCCGCACTATGACGGAGAAATACAGAGAAGAGCATAACCATGCATTCCCAAAATGGCCTTCAAAGTAGGAATTAAAAAAAAAATATCAAAACTCAGCCTACCTCTTTTCGTGGACCACTTTAATACCAAAGGTGAATATAACTATCAAGAAAATGGAAAGAGCAGTGGTATAGTATAAGTCTCTCAGCATTTTTGGTAATTTTTATTTGTGTGCCTTCTCCAGTGCGTGGAGGCTTCAGAGCAGGATCACAAACACAATTTGTGAGTATGCAACAAACGTGCTAATTGTTGGGATTGTACACGCCATACATGGCTGGGACTAACACACTATTAGCCTAAGCACTAATATCCTCACTGCCTCACTGTGTTTCTGCTGGTCAGGCAGATGGTAATCACATGGGGAAGTGTCAGTCTCCATTGCTCTTTGCAATAGGCTGATCCTCAGTTTTGCTGAGTTGCTATCTTCTATTTTGATTTTTTTTTTTTTCTCAGGGTTTTAGAGCTTTTTTTCAGTCAATATTCTTCCTTCAGTCCTTGAGTGACTGCTACCAACTCAACAATTTTACTTCTGTCCTTATTTCTGCTTTTTTAATATATCTTGCTTGGCTTAGGTTTATGTGCTGTCACTCATAGCTTAGCAACGTTTTTTTTCAGTAAAGCAGAGCTGGGGTCATATGGCCAACCTAGGCTTTGTGTTAAAATAGTAAGAGCGTGTGAAAGATCTACCAAAATGGTGGGGGAGAGACTGGTCTGTGCTTGTTGTCTGACACCTTGGTGTCTAGGCACCTTGCTGGCTTAAGAATGTGGACCGTGCCAGATGGCAAGAAGACTCTGAGAAATAGATACTGGCATGAACACCAGCTGGGGTATGTGCTATAGAACTGGTGGTATCAATGATGGTCTTTGTAATGCCAAGCAGAAAAGTCTGGGAAGGATGGACTTCAAAGGGAAAATTACTTTTGAAATCAGTGAAGTTGAAGATGAAAAAGTGCTGCATGATATTTTGACTTTGACCATGCACAGATTTATAAGAGAAAAAAAAGTAATCACCGTGAGGATAATTAATCACTGGCACGGGTTGCTCAGAAAGATTTGGCAGCCTCCATCCTTGGAGTTTTCCCAGACATGACTGGATAAAACCCTGAGCAGCCTTGTCTGAGTTCAATGTTGACCCTGCATTGAGTGAGGTGGATGGACTAGAGGCCTCCTGAGTCCCCTTCCAGCTTGAATCATTCGGTGATTCTGTGATTTAAGTTACTGTTGGAGCCAAGGGTAGGTGAGGTGGAGAAATGGTTTTACAAAGGGAGAATGCTTGGTGTGACATTTCCCAGTAGGACTGAGTCTTTGTAAAACTTAGCTGCTGCCGTCCATGTAAGGTGATCCCATTTCTCTCCAGGTCCTGTCCTGGTGTTCCTTATCTCTCTCTTGAGCTAGCGCTGGCCTTTGTCCAACATCTCTGTGAGCTGTTTCAGCTCACCGACCTGGCAGAAGCTAATTAATTTTTTTTGTGTTTTGTTTTAAACTGGTTGGGATTTCTGCTGATTTAGTTAGCTGAACTATTTCACTCAGAGACAGATGAGCACCACAGCATGAGGAGGAGGTGGGAACATGTGGTTAAGATTGGAAGGAGTTAAGATTGGGCAGGGCCCCCTCAGTGGGAGTGAGCCATTAAATTTGCCTTGCTGCCTCATGAAACAATGTGATATATCTGCAGCGGCTTCAATATGGGCGTAACAACAGATTGGGTAAACCCAGTCATATAGAAAATAAAAGCTCAGAAAGAAAAATTCGTTAATGCTAAGAGCAATGGGAAGTGTGGAATTACAAAGCGGAACATGAAAGCAGACAAATCAGTGAAAAATAATGTTCAAGGAAAGATGAACAGAGATATATTAAAGACCTAACACTTGAAACTGAAGCTCTTGCCATGGTAGGAAACCACAGATCTTGTTTACCAAGTTACAAAAATCCTGTGTGGCTAGTTTAAACAGGAAATGGGCTGATCAGAAGCAAAGATAGGGAAATGAGTACAACAGAGATAAAATAGATGGGCAAAGCATTTTAAAGAAGCCAGCAGCAAAAACCCAGCCTTACTTTGACATGAGATTCTGTGACACGAGATGATGTGACTTCAAACGACAGCCGATTGCACTAGCTCAGTAGTGATATCAGAAAAGCGAGTTGTTGTAGTCCAGTAGGTAGCAGCAACAACGCAATGAAAGACGATTTGATCCCAGCAGAAATGCTAAGAGGCCATGATGTCACTGCAGAAGTAAAGTTGAAAAAGTTGTTGAATGAAATATGGGAAGAAAACCCCAACTTTTGATGAGGGGGAGCATGGAGTTGTTAAAATATTTAAAAATTAGATTGTGTCTCTCTGCCCTACGCTATAGGGGTGGTCATTTGCAGTGGAATGCTGCACGCGATGACACAGATGATGGATGCAGAATTGGAGGCGAACAACCTCTGGACTCAGGCCCAGACAACTGAATATTCACACAAAAGAGCATCCTGAAAGAACATATGCAATGACAGGCTTTGCTCATCACCACTTTCATTGATACTTTTTTTTTTTTCAGGTTTCATGACAGCAGCCTCGGGAACACCTTGTGGAACTGCAGCACTCTGCTCGTCCTCCATCATCACGGCTGTGCAGAGAGGGATGGATGGCTACATCTGGGAATGCATCTGAGTAAGAGACTGGTTCACTTTGAACACTGGTGTAGAACAATGGTACACCTGTTTTCTGTTGCTGTTTTGCATTATCATACACAGCTTCTGTGTTGGCAGCACAAGTAGCAGCATACCATGGGCTGGATTACACACATCCAGGGTAAATTGTGCTGGTAGCATTGTGTTACTGAGCTATTGACCTGAAAAAAAGCTGCGAAGATACATAACCTAGCAAAACAAGTGAGCCAAACAGGATTAAAAATCAGCTATCAAAGCAGATATCCCTGAAAGCTTAATACCAAGCATCAAAGTCATGTTAGAAAACACAAATTCTGGGAAAGTAGAACAGCTTGCCTGTCCTGTCCTCATCCCACTTCTGAGCAATTAGGAAGGAACTGACAGTAAGGATAGGAGAGTCTTCTACCATTCATACTCATTTCAGCATATGGAAATCCAAGATATTCAGTCCCAGAAAGAAAACAAGATTAAAAAAAATATTTACATGCAATTACAATGCTAAAATAGACCCTGGAAAGTAGAGACATCAAAGGTGCTAGAAAACTAGATGACTTGAAAGAAAATGTGCCTATGAAAAGATCTGAACATCGGGCTCTGCCCTCGGCGTAGAGCTGAACAGCCCACCAGCTCATCTTTCCCCAGAGTCAGCAGTGAGCACAAGGGTGTATTTGGTGTGTGTTCTTTGAATGGCAGCCCTGAAGAACCCCTCCCAAAATCACAGAATCACAGAATCTTCTAGGTTGGAAGGGACCTTAAAGATCATCTTGTCCAACCGTCAACCTAACTTTGACAAAAATAGACACCTGCACAACAAACAAAAAGCAACACCATCACTAAACCATACCTCCCAGCACTACATTAACCCGTCTTTTGAACACCTCCAGGGGTGGTGCCTCAACCACCTCCATTGGAATGGCGGCCCATTCCAATGTCTGATAACCCTTTCGGTGAAGAAATTTTTCCTAATATCCAGCCTGAACCTCCCCTGGTGTAACTTGAGGCCATTTCCTCTCATCCTGTTGCCTGTGATTTGAGAAAAGAGACCAACCCCCACCTCTCTACAACCTCCTTTCAGGTTGATCCAGTGGAGACCAGTATGTGTGAGGGAGAGGACACTCATTAGAGATTTTAAGATTTTGAGCACCTCACAGGAATGACAGTGATCAATCTCAACCATGTCCACTAGAAACGCCAAGGAATGACAGAGAGCAATGGAAGACACTAGCCTTCCCTGCATGTCCCAGCCTAGCTATAGGAAGAAGAGAGGAAGAATAACATAAGGGCTACTAGAGAAACAAATATATTCCCCATAATTGCTTTGTTTTCTTTGTGAAGCAAAACTTGTGTTAGCTAGCTTGTTTTATTAGCTGCCACTGGAGCTAAAAGCCGTGAACCTTACTGAAGGGGAGGAAAATAAAGCTCTTGCTCCAGAGATGCAGAGAGTAGCTAATGTCCAGAATAAAGCACTCTGCCAAATGCTTCAAGGAGCTGGGGGCCTGTTGCCAAGGCACTGCCGTGTGATCGCTGCAGTCATGATAGAATGGGGAAAGAGTCCATGCCAAGAAGAGTTGGCAGGTGTGGGACCCAGGTAGTCATGCCACAGTGGAAATTACATGATCCCTGATTAAAGGGGTTCTGCCTTTCATGTATCTTCAAAGGTATCTGGAGTCTATAGGTGTCATGAGCAACAATGGTTTATTTTTTTATTACCTAGACTGAATGAGAGATCTTTAATCAAACTGTATTGCAGTAGAGACAGTTCTGCTGTTTAACCATAAATATTTGGGTGTGCAATCTGGTGTTGATCTGCAAGGTTACTAATATCTATATAAGAAGTAGTCCTTTTTCATTTGAATGATCTACCAAGTTGTTTCAGCTTCAGCTTGTTAAGTTTGAGCGTAGATCTGAGTGTTCTTTCTGAGGTGATGCTGTTGATGTAAGAGGGCACAGAGACTCCTGTTACATTGAATATGTTTAGGATATATTATCTCTGCTACAAGGCCTTTTTCTTAGCCAAGTTTTAAGACAAAACCACTATTTCTATGCTTTTTTTTTTTCAAAGTAAAACTCTGCAGTCTGTTCTCAGCTTTCTTCTACTTTTCTCATAAAATCAGACCCACACACAGCCTCACCTCAATGATATCTGGTGAAATTTTTCCACCTTCTTGTGCTGTATATATTCCTATGTCCTGAGCAGCAGTATGTGTCTGTGTTTTGGGTACGGACTGCTGTTATTTTAGATATCATAATCCATAAAGGAGCATCAGTGTTTCTTACATGTATTCATAATGAGAATTTATTTACTATTTTCACAGAGGTCTAACCTAATTTCCAAAGTGAGTTTGCTCTTCTTCTCCAAGTTAAACAACTAAATATATATATATATATATATATTAATTTGTGAGTCTGACCACCATAACCTATACGTATTTCTGTGTATATAGCAGTTGAAATAAAGAGCCTTATTCAGGAGAGGCTCTTAAATGTGTGCCTTCTTTTTAAGCACCTATGAAGGTAAGTTTGGTGTGCGTTTACACACTTATCTGAATGGGGGTGCATGGAAGAATAGGCTTGTTTTCTGGAATCAAAACCTTGGCTGAAATGTCACTGCCTGGATCACCTGCTGCTTGCAAGGCTGACAGCAGCGGGGGGGTATAAACCATAGCTCACACTTGCCTCACCAGTAACACAAGCATGCGTTGCACACGCGTGTAATCGTACCACAGTTCCTTGGGTGAAGATCATGCTGTAAAGTACCCTGCCTTTACGCAGTGCAAGCACCAAGACGAAGGCCACGGGTCCCAGACCACAGCCATGACGAAGCAACATCTACGTTATGGCATTCAATTTTGTTATATAATTAAGAGCCTTCAATTATAGACTGGAAGACATACTTACACCGTATCAGAATATTCTCTGCTGTAAATGAGGTTGGGTTAATTCCCTAACAGGCTGGGCAGCGGTAAGAGGTGGAGATAAGCTCCCAGCACTGACTGGGGACAAAATTAGACAAGTGGCGTGCTTGCCTGCACCCTGGTCCTACAGCCATGAGAGCCCCTGTGGCAGAGAACAACAGGGTGATGTATGCTTTTTGTTATTATCTACTAATAAACGATTTCTCCTTTGGGTCCCCACCGCAGCTCTGCTCTCGTGCAGGCTATTGCTTGGGTGGAGCAGCTGCAAGCCTTAGGAACAGCTAAGACTCCAACAATTTCAGTCATTTTCTTGGATTAATATTGGATTAATTTCATCTCTGTGAAAACAATGACTTTTGAGACGAGATCTTGTCTCTCTAGGCAGATCTGGCAGGTTCAGCCATAGCTCACATAAGCTGGAGCATTAAGGCTTGTTTCAAAGAAAGAGGGAATGTGAGCCAAGGCACAAACACGGGCCCCTATTTTCCTTTGAAAGATATGATTAGCTTTTCATTTTCCTCTTAGGCAGCATTAGGCTGCTCCCCTGAGTGTGCAAAGGGTCCTTTATATTTTGTAGATATTTGGGCAAATTACCTTGGCATTATTGTTCCATAAGTCACTTTCAAAATATTCTAGATATCACGCAGAGATGGAAAGACAGTCTGTGAGCAGAGCGCGCAGCCTAGACACAATCGAGATTAAATGCGAGGGCAGCAGGCACAATGTACAGATACATCAGGATGACTGCATAGTTACGGTCTTGTTTTCCCACTCTACTAACTCACAGAGAGCACAAAATAAGCCTGTGTAGCAAAGACATAACGAAAAAAAAAAAAAGACATACTGGAAGAAATATTTATGTTTTATTAGCATATTCTCTGCTCTAAATGAGTTTGGACTAATTACTTATCAGGCCACACAGGGATAAGAGGGGGAGATAAGCTCCTAATATCACATTAGGAAAAATTAATTAAACAGAATAAACATAATTTATTTGATTCTGCTATTTCCTTTTTCAATTGCTTGATTTAGCAATCTCGGTAATGGTCTTTAACAAATTCTTTATTTATTTTCCTAAACAGAAAAAAGAGGAAAAAAATGAAAAGAAGCTGCAAAGAGATTAATTCCATCACGATACCTCATTTTCCTCAGCAGAATGAGAACTGCAGAATTAGCACAGATTTCTGCTACTTGAGCTAATGAAGTGCCACTACCAGTCACGGGTTGTCATCCTCTGAGTAAAGCACTCCCAGAAGAGGATCGCTGATGGGCAATGGTGAGAAACATGAACCAAGCACTTGCTTCTTGGCTGGGGTGACAAGTAATCAGGTAGATGTATACTCCAGATGTAAGCTAACCTGCTGCACCTCCTCCAGCCTCTCACCATCCTCACCCTTTGCCTTCCCTGCTTCATCCCAGACCCGCTCTCCTTCTACAGCGAGTCACAGTGCCTCCCAGTCCTGATCTCCCAATCTGATTAGCTCTTTGCTCACTCCCAGTATGACATTCTTTGCTCCCAGTCTACTGGGCTGGACTACCCCAACTCCCCATTCCTTCCTCCTGACCCTGTTCCTCATCTAGCACAGCTCTGGGATCCAGTGTATCTGCCTGAGATTTTCTCCACGGTGCATTTCAACAATTCTCTCCTCTGTAGTCTTGATTCGAACAAGGGGGCTGCTGAGATCAGAGGAAGAACAGACTCCTGCTTTCCATTTGGGTGTCTAAACCTCTTATGGCTCACAGTAGCAGATGCCTATCCATAGCAAATCAGACCTTTGGGAAAGTCTGCTGGTAAAACCAAAGCCACATATATTAAATGTGCACCATGGCTTTTCATATACTTATGTCATGAGGATAGAAGCGACGCGTCCCTGACACAAATGCTGTCTTCTATCAGATTTTAAGTCCTTGCACCAAACTTGCAAGACGTAGGCTTTGTCACAGAAGACACCAGAATTTTTAAGCACAGCACATTTTTCCCTACAGCCTGTCAGACACATCAGACATGTCTGAATTGTTTTACGCTAGTTCCCCTTGAGAACGTGTGTCAAGTAGAAAGTCCTGAATTATACAATTTCATATTGTTTAGATAGGACAACCGGGTTGAAAGATTTAATCTCATAAAAAGCATTCTAATATCTTTAATGACCACTATACAGACTTCCATTCCTTACAGAAGATAAGGAATGTCCTTGCAAATAAGAAAAATTAGATCCTGCTGTGCCAAGGCCTACGCTCTAAATAGTTCAAGGTGACCAGTGTACAGCTCAGCCTGTTACGTAAAATAATTTGCAAAGGTCAGTAAAAATTAAAGGCAAAATGACGGCTTTTTCAAGCAAAAAAGACACAGTGATAAGCCCCAAGGACTATGCTGAAATCATGTCCAGTAAAGAAAAGTGCAGGACTAGAATTAGTGGGACAAAATTGATATACTGGAGCGTAAGGCTCGCCGATGAGCAAAATCATGAGAGGATGGGCTATTCTTCCTCTCTGGTGCTCCAAAACTGGTGAGTCAGCTGCAAGGAAGCAAAATTTGACCCAAATTGCAGGAAGATAGGTAGACAGCAGGAACACAGCCCAGCAGCATTGCAGGCATTGCCCCATCCCCTGCAGCCAGTCCCCTGTGGCTCCTTTGCACTGGGCATTTATTATCAACATGACAACAAATGGGTTGGACCAGAAGGAGGAATCCAGGTGGCCTCACACCTCCACTTGGCGGTGGCTAAATCCTGAACAACACCTGGAATGAGACCTTCACACCCACCTGGTTTGTGCTTTTCCTTCTCTCCCTTCCTCCTTCCCTTTTCACGTGGGTTTCCCTTTGTTTTCTGCCTAAGTAAAGTCTGCTTGAGATGTTAAAGCTACATCCTCTGGGGAGCTGCCACCACGCTGTTAACTGACAGCTTCCAAAAGGCTGTGCTGGTGACAACAGGGCACTGCTGCAGTTTCCATGTTTCCCTGTGACCAGCACACAATACGCTGTGCTGGAGTTTTTCTAGCAATGAACTTGCTATTCAGAGCCAACACCAGAGTGCGAGGCTGAGTTCCCTTCCCCTGCAGCTCTTGTGCCTTCTTTGTCCCTTATTCCTACTGCCTGCCTCTCCAGGGAAGGACCAGGCTCTGACAATAGCTCCTGTAGCGGTTCCAGCCCGTCTCAGTGCACTGAATAACTCTCTTTTCTACAACGCAACAATAAATTGTCTTTCTCACTATCTCTTTAAGCCTGTTAAACAATGGTGTTTTCCTCATACAGATTCTTAACAGCAAATGGAAATTGGAGATTTTTAAAATGAAAGCCCTGTTTTTCTGCATTCCAAATATTTTTATTCTTGTTCTTTCCTTCTCTTTTTCTATCTTTAATAAAGGGTTTAAAAGATTTGGTGTGGCTCATGTTGCCACGGGAATAAACAAGCTAAGATTTATGCATTTGAAACCTCAAACCCTACCCCAAAACATGTTTAGCAATATAGTTTTGTTACAGGGACACAGTATCTTTAATACATTTGACCCTCCGGGTCTATTTATTTTACTGAAATTTGACTCAGCAAAGTTAAATCCCCTTATATCATTCTGGAAGACAACTCATTTTATGTCTGGATACAAACCAATTCACCTCCTAAGCCGCATAATCAACTCCCGCCCTAACATGCCAGTTAGCACTAGCACAACTGAATGGAAAAAGAAATTGAGATGGCTTTGTAGAAATGCACTTAATTTCTATGGGATGCTCAGTAAGTATCAGAACAATAGACAGTGTATTAACTACTACGTCGACTGACATCCTTTTTCCTTGGCCTAGGTAATATTTTCATGTAAGAGGATGGCAGCATACTCTGATTTTATTAAGCACCATTCTTGAATGGATACCATGAAGTAACCCTTGTTTGTTTTTTTGTTTTTTGTTTTTTCTTATTTTTACTTGGTTCTGTAATAACAATCTCTGGAAAAAAATCTGAAAGACAGGATATTTTCCACGTTTCAAAGGTTTCTCCGTATGATTGCAAATAAGAAAAATTATGGAAGCATCTTATTCTGCAATTATTCCATATTCTCTGACCGACATGGCTTACTCTTCCCTCTTGCTGTATTCTCTTCTGTGCAGATTTTGGTGAGTCTTTGTTTTATTTTTTTATATTTACCTATATATATATTTACAAGCAAAACAGAGAAATCAGGTGTTTAAGGATGTGCTGGAATGAAGAATGCTATAAGAAAATTATATTTATTTCCATGTTCAGGCTAAGGAAGGCTAGCTGGGGGATACCTCTATTCACCTAAACATTGTAAGTCAGAAAAGAATTAGATGTTCATCAAATAAGGCTTTTCTTTTCATCTTTTTTCCCCTTCTTCCCCATTTTGTGTTAAACATTAGAATCTGGGCAAGACAGCCCATTACCTTGAGCCATAAACCAGTTCTTTCCCTGTTTCAGCACAATCTGCTTGATAGGCATCCAGCCCATTTGATCTCCAGGCTCCTGGTCTGGCCAAACAGACTGAGATGTTTCTACCTGGGCTATTATTTTCTTCTCCTCTTCTCCTCATTGATCTAAACCATGCTCCCCATGCAACCCCAGAAGAAGGTCTTGTAACCCAACACACAGCAATGTCCTTGGACAAGCAGGTTACAGAGAGAGCCCAAAAGCTCTCAGTATTCTTAGATTCCACCACACTGGCTCTCATGGTACCCAAAGTATGGTGACACATCTGCCTCATTTCCCTCACACGGCCTGATAACAGCATTTCCAGGCTCTGCCAAGCTGGTGATGGCCATAGGACCGCAGCCTGAAGAAGGAAAGACTGAAATACTGCTTTCATCGAGACAGACGTACAAGAGGTAATCGTTGGTTGCTTGCAAGTCTGAACCACTCAGTTTTTAGTGGTTTGCAATATCACTAACAGAGTTTCTTTATTCCTCTACCTTGTTGAAGTGGAAGAGGCCCTTCCCTTTTATTTGAAACACTGGTTTTCTTCATCTCTCTCTATTTGCTCTAAAAATCCTAAGGCGTTTTTCTTACTATATCCTTGTGCCTTGGCTACAGCACGTGGTAGGTAATCGTAGGAAGAGCGTGGTGTATCGGATACGACGACCGCACGGCTCTGATCCGACACGATCTCGTCGTAAGGCTGTTGGGACGTGGTTGCTCTATTGCAGGGAAAGCGCAAAGGCTGCAACAGAAATGCAGCAAAATGGGGAAGAAGGCAGTGAAGCGTGGCAAAATGTGAGCAAAGGAGTGGAAAGACTGAAATGGAATATTAACAGTAAATCCGTCCAGGAAAAAATATTGGAGGGTGAAGACTTCTTCTGTTTGCAGATACTGGAAATGCAGATACTGACAATGAGAAGAGTTTTTTTTTTTTTTTTCAACAGAGAAAAATATATGTAAGAAAAATTAGGTAGGGAAATGAATGAAAAAACTTAACAAATGCCACCAAAACTGCGAAAGGTGTTGGACTGTGGCATCATATTCCAGTGGCAAGAGTGGGAATCGTTAACTTGAGCTATTTAGCATTTGGATCTGGGCAAGTTTGTAGGAAATTACAGCACAGAAAAATTCTGCACTAGTCTACTGAATAACCATAAATAATTTAAAGCAACGTCTATCTTGTCTTCTACAATTCAGTGGACAACCGACTGTGCTGTCATCTAGTTTTACCATAGCTATGTTCTAATACCAGAAAATGGTTGCTTTGTTTTTAAGTTTTGCACATTATTTTAAACAACTCATTCTTTTAACCACCTTTTAAAACAACAATTGGTTGTTTAGTTTTCTCAAGGGAAAAAGAATTGTCATCTTCATTGCTTTGTACTGATACCATCCAGGTCTGGTTTCACATTAATCCTTCTCAGTTTGTCACTTATCTGTGATTAATCAGGCAGAAGCTAAGAAATAAAATTATGTATTTTGTAAAGGTGAACTAAAATTTCAGTCACTGCAAAACTGTGAGACACTAGAACAGTCAGGAAATCCAACTTGGTCTAGTTCTAGCTACTTCAGTGCAGTTATGCTGAGCCATATTTGCTGATAATCTGAATTTTGAGTATCCTTGTTATGTTCTTTTTAATACAGTATAATCTCTGTAAGAGTAACAACTTGGAATAACTTTGTTTTGGTTGATATGTGAAATGAAAATTATGTCATTAGCTGTGAGCTGCCTCCCAAGACAAAAATGCACCCAGTTATTACTTGAGACAAAGAAAAAAATTACAATATTCTCCCTATTTTAATATTTTACTGGATGGCAATAATGACAAATTAGAAATTACTTCTAAATTCCAACTTAATTTTAACATTTAGGATATCTGCCTGCTGCACGTTTTATATGACTTCCAATTACAACAATATGTGAGACATCTCAGTCTTTGAGGTCCCTCACAACATGCCCATGGGACAGAAAAATGCTATTTTTGTGCAATTGCACACAGAGCTATAGACTCACTAATTTGCCCAAGGAAGTATGTGACATACATAAAAAAAAGCCAACCCAGTTGTCTTTAATCCCAGAGTATGTGTCTAATGGATGAACCATCACCCTCGATCTAGCTGAAAAGTCTAATGATACCATCAAAAAATACATTAAAATTCATGATCACAATCACTGTAGATCACTAAGATATTCCTTTAGGGTATGGCTTGTTTGAAAATAAGTAAAAGAAATAAATTAGGCATTTAGTTAGTTACATATTGCCCACAGTTCTACAGAGTTGTGAAGAAAACAAATCTGGAGTGCTGCATTGCACAACTTCCTAACGCTGCAGTTAGATCTTCCCTTGTATTTACAGACTGGTTTATTTTAAAATCTATTCAAGCATTGGAAAATCATAAATATGCAGCTCCACAGATCCAGAGGTCAGATTTCTGTGACTGTAATACATAGCTTCTGCTTACTAAGCCCTCCAATTTAGGGTCAAACTCTTAAGCACTTTACTGAAGTGAGTGAAGGAGCAGGTTTTAGTTACAGTATTATATGGCTACACAGCGCTGTCACTGCTCCAAATATAAACAAAAATATGTACTAAGATACTAATCTAAGAGGGGCAGAATATGACAGCACTCGGCAGGAACATTTCTTAGAGGTGTAACAGTACTTGCATGCTTTCATAGGAAATATAACTGAATCCTGATATACAGCTGTTTTTCTTCCCTTACCAGTACTTCTGAAGGTTAATACCAATGCACTTGACGCTTCATTGTGACTCCTATATTAATATTACAGATTTTAAATAAACCAGACCAACTGATACACAAGCCGTTACCAGTCTTAACTTCTTCAATTTTGCCTGTATGCCAGCATGCAGTATTTTGGATTATACCAGCCTCAAGTCCTACTGTTTGCTACACTAGTGTAAAGGAGCAGCAAGTAAAAATTTTAGCAAGTAAACTTCCCTCTTAAATCTGCCAGAGGGACATAAAGAATAGCCTGCCACAAAGTCATGCAACACCCAAAATCAATAGTCATCCATTGATCCATGTGAACCACAGGCCTCTGATCTTATGGCTAATCCTTCTTTAGCCTGTTGGTGCTGAACGAGTTGGTTGGGATACTGGTGAGCCCCTCCAGCAGTGGCCACCCTCTTGGGGTATTTAATGAGAGAGGTTGGATGGAACCAACAACCACAGGTTCACATCTCAGCTTGTAATAATTAGAGTAACATTTCTGCTACTTTATGTATTCTTTTTTAGTTCGTAAAATACCATTTCTGATCATAAATGCTGATCATAAATGGTGGTCCTCATTGGAGCACCTTCCTACGACGACAAGCTGAGAGAGCTGGGATTGTTCAACCTGGAGAAGAGAAGGCTCAGGGGAGACCTTACAGCAGCCTTCCAGTACCTTTAGGGGGGGCCTACGGGAGAGATGGGGAAGGACTCGTTATCAGGGACTGTAGCAATAGGACAAGCAGTAATGGTTTTAAACTTGACGAGGGTAGATTTAGATTAGGTATCAGGAAGAAATTCTTTACTGTGAGGATGTTGAGACACTGGAACACGTTGCCCAGAGAAGCTGTGGATGCCCCATCCCTGGAAGTGTTCAAGGCCAGGCTGGATGGGGCTTTGAGCAACCTGGTCTAGTGGGAGGTGTCCCTGCCCATGGCAGAGGGGTTGAAACTAGATGACCTTTAAGGTTCCCTTCCAACCCAAACCATTCTAGGTTTCTATGATAACTCTAATTAAGAATGACCCCTTTATTTTAAAGGGTGAATATGCCTGGGAAGCTGAAACATGGGCATTGGGGTTATCAATGCTCTATAACTGTAGTTACGGGACTGTAGAGTTGCCATTGGCATAGTCATTGACTTTTAAAGATTTTCTTTCTAGCAGTCAACAGAAGAATGATAACTTCCTGGCCGACCAAAAAAACTGGAACACAAAAAATGTCTTATTTGTCATTTAGCAATCCCATGTTCTTGTAGGTCTTCACCAAACGTTTGAGCAGCTAAGGTGGCACAGCTTTATTGCTGGCACTGTTGCCAAAAGAGCTGTATGTCAAGTTCTAAGCCCAGGAAGGAATGTCTCTATAGCTAGAAATCACATGCGGAAAAGCAAAGGCAAAATGAACTTTGCCTGTCTTCCACCCTTCTCCCTCAGATGCTAACCAAATACGAAGACTTTGAGAAGGGAATACTCTTAGATCTTCAGTATTTGCCTAGACCTATAAATGTCTTGTGCTAATTAAGAGTAAAATGTGTGGGGTTTAGATATTGTTCATCTAAAGTTCCTGTATATATAATCTATTCCCTTTAATTTCATTATCATATAATCCCCTAAGAATTAATACCATAAATTGTGATGCCAGAATGGAAAAAATGGAGAGAGGCTTAGTATGTCTCATCCCAAGATTAAGTCTTGGGGCTTAATCAAGTCAGAAAGCCACGTCTCCCACCGCAGAGCAGGCTTTCAGAGCCCCCAGAGGCCAGGTGAGAGCCTTGACCTTTATGTGCAACAATCTTGACGTCCATCCAGACACAGATGGCTGCAGGGCTTGGAAGGTGTTATTCCAGGTAACACAGTCCTGTGTCCACTGTGGCTTTTAGCCAGCATTGTGACTTGTTTATCCTCTATTTCATTGTCCCACCCTCTATTCAGGGCTGTCCAGAGAAGTTGCATAATAAAACAGAGGAGTTGGTTTGGCTCCAGCTGGTCCTGGTGCCTGTTGTCCACTGTGGGTTTGGTTTAGTTGTGTAGAGGAGACTTGGGACACGAGAGAAAAACTCAAAATAGCTTAGAGGCTTTTTAAGAGGTGAACATTTTATTTACTAGCTAATTGCTACTGCAAATAAAATTTTCAGTAACCAAGAAAAGGTTAGTTGTATCTTTCTGGTAGGAAATTTGTAGCATGATCCTTTGGCTTAAAATGATGGATTCTGAATTTTCTAATAAGCTTTGTTTCATTGAAAGCCAGCTCTGTAAACGTAGCAACATGTAAAAGCAAACCAACCCTTCTTCTTCTCCCTGTATGTATATTCAGAATCCTATCTCCAAAGAGTCAAAGAGAAAGTTTTCGTTGCTTTTTTTTTTCTTGTTAGTTCAGCATAGCCAACAGTAAAGGCCTTGTTTACATTAAGCAAATGTGCAATGATGCAGCAAAATCAATTTAGTCACACTGATGCAAATCCCTCATATGGATGTAATGCCTGTGTGCAAAGTAGGGCATTTCTGAATGTACACAATATTTAAAATGAAGTGAAAGAGACAGTTTCTATTCTTCCCAGCTGATTCCTTAATGTGATTCATATAGGCACCCCTGATAGCCTAAGCTGAAGGAAAGGGACTTTCTAGTTAAAAATAGGGGTTTATTAGGAGTACCGTTGATCATGAAGGAATATCATGACCTTCAGATTGCAAGTTGCAGTAACTTAACAGATAGATTAATACTTTTAAAAAACACCCATTACATTTAAACTGAGCACACTTGACCTTAAAAACATTGGGAAAATAAATATGTGATTGCATAACTCCATTTTACCATTACTTTTCAGAACAGAAGTGAAAATGAATGTATTTTTGGTCCTGGGCTGTTCTTAGTAATTTAATGTGATCTGTCATCAACAAGAGGGAAAACAAATTTCTGACACTCAATAAGAATAAGAAGAGAACAAAATGTACCTTACTGTGGGTAAGATCTATGGGCAAAAAATGGCACAGCCTGTGAAGGTGTTTACTGAAAAACAGGGGAAGTGACAGTAGGAACACCAGTAATGAGATAAAGACCATTTTCCTTTGCAGTCTGCAGAGGTTTGGGGATTAGTCTTTTTTCAGTTTTTGGTTTTGTAATAATGCTTCAGACAATTGTGAAGTTGGAGTAAAAATTCTGGTCATTTGGTAAATGTCTTTAAGAATTTTTTGGGGAAAAAAGACCCCAAATAATTTATGTTGCAGTATAATGTTTATTTAACAAGGTAATAAATGAAAGACCAAAATCCAAACAAAATATTTTTACTGAAAACATAGTTTTTAATCAAATCCAGACTATGTTTCAGAAGCTTTTCCTTACAAATTATTTTAAAACTGGGGAAAATTTTTGCTAATCTGATGGGAATCACATTTTGAAACCTGGGAATCTTTTGTTAAATGAAATTTTTATTCTCCTTACAGCTAAAGACTCACACCAGGGAAGTGAAAAAAGATGTCATATTGGGCTTCCTTTCCATGCGTGTTTACCTACGACCATTGCTACTGATGCCAAAAGTGACTGATAAAGCAACATTTTTTTTTCTCCGCCACTCTCACTAAAAAAGAAAAAGAAGTTTAGGAAGTCCCTTTTCAGGAATGAAGCCAAGGTGGAATCTCATCCTGGTGGGTTACAGCCTCCCAATGGAGCTGGGTGACTTGAGAAACACTGTTCTGTACGTCCAAATTCTCTTTGGACCTTCCCAGAAACATACATTAACAGTAGTTTGCAGTGCTTAATTTTTTTTCTAACAACAGTGCTAATGCTAACAAGAGCCCAAGTAGGAAGCCCTCATCAGAGAAAGAGACAGGGGCAAGGGAAGTGCTTAGGCAGGTAGGGAGCTAAGCACTCAATTATTACTGAATTTCAAATCCACAGGCACTACAGCTATACCCCCTGCCTTATAATTCCTGAGATTACTGAGTTTTATCAACAGAAGCTGAGGCCCCCACCGGATAATTCCCGAGTTCCTTGAAATGAGTCTAATACCCAACAGGGTTACTTGTGCTGCTGCAGAAAGCTATTTCTGGCCTTTTACGTGTCAGAAAAGAAACTGGATGTGACGGATTTGGAGCTGCCCTGGGATAATTTAGGAATATGGTCTGTTGGCCTGATTATTTGGATGAATGTCTGAGTTTAACTCATCAGGGGTTTGCTTGCCACTGTACTCTTAAATAATCGCTGGGCTGGTCTATACTTGCAACCCTGGGATGCCCCACTTCCATTGGGGCCACACAGCCATGGAGCATGGGGACTTGGAAGGGGAAGAGATTCAGTTTTGAACCCCAGGCAGTCCTAGCATCCTGCTCATTCCTAGAAGAGATGTAGGTCTCCAAAAGTCCACTGGGGATTAGATATGGGACCTGTAACTGCTTGATAAAGTGACTGGATAGAGCATTTTTGTGAGCATCCAATGCTGATAAAGGGCAGGTGCCAAGAGGATGGGGCCATTTTTTTTTTTCAGTGGTGCCCAGTGACAGGACAAGAGGTAATAGGCACAAACTTGAACATAGGAAGTTCCATCTAAACTTGAGGAGGAACTTTTTTACTTTGAGGGTGGCAGAGCACTGGAACAGGCTGTCCAGGGAGGTGGGGGACTCTCCATCTCTGGAGACATTCAAAACCCGCCTGGACACGTTCCTGTGCAACCTGTTCTAGGATGACTTGCTTTGGCAGGGGGGCTGGACTAGATGATCTCCAGAGGTCCCTTCCAACCCCATGTGATTCTGTGATTCTGTGACTGTTGGGGGACATTACTTGGGATGTGTTCACATTTAGCCATGCTAATTCCATGTGTTTGTGAAATTTTCTATGGAACTGAAGGATATCCCCAAAAAATAAATTTTGGAAGAAAAAGGGTTTGTGAATCCCATGGTAATTTTCAGCAGTTTTTATCTGAACTGTGCGTTCAGAACTGGCATGTTGCCTCTCCCCTCAGGCAAGCCCTTTTTCCATGAAAAGGGAAGACCTAAGGGGATGACCCCAGGGTTAATTTACAAATGCACAGTGACTTCCCTGAACATGAAACTAATGGGAAGCTGTGGAGTGGTGATGTTATTCCACGGTTTAGAGTGAAGGCATGTTGGGTGGAGCACTGGAAACATTACAGGGCAGCTGGCCCGCTCCAGCGTGTTGGACCCAGCCTCATCTGTGGTGAGCTTCCAGCTCCAGCTGAGACCAAGATGGTCAAGTGAATCTCTTCTCCACTGTGAAAGAAGAGTGCCAGTGGTTATTTGCCAGCTGCTGAAGAAATATTTGGCTTGGGTAAATAGTATACATAATAGGACACAAAGAAGGTTTCTAAGAAACCATCTCTCAATTTGGAAGAAGAGGGATTTTTTTTGTGTGTGTGTGTATATGTTGGGTAAGTGAAGTACAGAAAACAGAAAGCTGAAAATCCTAAGAAAATTACTTGAACCAGGTTTTGTTCACTCTCTCTTGGCTGAGAGGACAAGTAAGTAGTTTACTACAGCTTTATGGGTTCTTGATTGTGGAGTTCAAAAAGGCAGCCTACAGGCCTAAAATGTACTCCAGAATAATTCCTAATTCAGCCATCATAGCTAGGGAGGCACTATGTTCATTCACTGCTTATTCCAGCTGTTTTGGTATGTAAATTCTCCTTCTTCACTGTTGCTACAAAGGTGAATGTATTACATCTCCATAACCATGAATTTCTAATGCACTCATCTTGCCCCCATTGAACATCTTTTATGTTTATGGATTTCACTCAACAGCAAAACCAACCAAATATTAGGGCATCCATTTGTCAAGAGAAGCCAGACTAGAAAATACTGTATATTCTGGGGCATATCCTCCCGGTGACTGTTTTGTGTTGTTGGTAGTGGAGTTCTGGCCACCTCTTGGATGACCACAGTGGCACAAGCATTTTTTAATGATACAGATGGAGTGCTGAGTCTCCTCTACCACTTCCTTCATTCACAGTTGCCACATAAAGGATAAAGCTGAGCTGTCCAGATCACACTGCAAGCCCCATGGCTTTATTTTGGTCTGCAAAAAAACTTTGGAAAGAGATGGTTTAGTGTCACATGGCTGTCTGAGGAGAAGGAAACGTACATGCCAACGCTTAGGGGTAATCCAGGAAGGGCTGCGTTTTGTAAGGCCAAGTGACTGACTACTAGAAAATCTAGAAATACAGGCAGGAGACAAACAAACAACTAAACCAGAGACAAAAGGAAGAAATCAGAGCCAGCAAGTGAATTCTGTGTGCAAAGAACTCCTAGTCACCAGCCCTCCATCGAGAAGTTCTGCTGGGCAGTGGGCAGCCACTTCCTCTCACAGCTGAAGCTTCTGAATGGGAACTTTTTGTAGAGCATTTTGTGGGAATCTAGATTACAAATGGCAAAGATCTAGATTGTGGTCACAAAGTGTATATCTAAACAGAAGGCAAAATGCCAGAGCAATAATACCGCTTCTGGAATTTGCTTTAATTGGGATGTCCAGAAGAAGCAGAAAATTTAATACAATGCACGTATTGTGAACAGACGTAACAAGTAACAAAGCAAGCTCTTAAGCTCTTCAGTGAGCACAGAAGAGGGAAGGAGAGATGAAGTAATTTCAACTTCTGATTGTTCCCTGCAGGTAGTCAACATGATTCCCATGCTTTCTAAGCTGACTCCATCAGCTTTTTACCATTTTCATTTCTTCTCCATTGGCTTGTCTCATCCCAGTGCAACACTGGAGAAGTCAACAAGCCATAGCCTGCTTCTGACAGAAACTAGACCAAACTGGCAGCTGTTTTCAGACTGTGAAAAAGAGCTGTTTTCAGCATTACAGCATGTATTGCCTCACGGTGGGTTTGCCTACATCGCCTCCTACAAGCAGCCCCAAGCCAGCTCTGCCTGGGGGCCTTGTTGGCCACATGCAGCATAGCTGTGGTCCAAAAGCAGTGCACCCAGGTGAGTCTAATGGGGTGCAGCATACTTCATTAATTGTTTCCACATTTTGCATGAGCAATGCAGTTACACTTGAAAGTTCTTTCCTGCACTCCCTTGTCTTCCTCTACTGCACGCCTGGTTATCTTGGAATGGTTATTTCTGCTCCTCCCTAACACTTTTTGCTCCTGTCCTGAGTACTCCTAACTAACACTAACAGGAAGGAGAGCAGGGCTCAACATTGAAATTCAAATCACACAAGTTCAAACATTTATTTAAAATCAGATGCTGCTCAGATGCCGTGAGACTACACATTTTACAGCGCAGTTTGTGTAAGCTTTGCAAACATCCCAAGCAAACAATCTTTGCAGAAAACATAACCATATCATTTTACTCATTTCTGGAATTCTGGCTTGTGGGGAAGATCATTCCCAACAATGTCTCTGCTCAGATCCTTTGCAGAGTGGTCTTTGTACTTTTTCATAATATCCCTGTTTTCCTGTGTTGATACCTATTGGAGAAACAGCTTATATGAGTTACAGAAACCATCTAGTTTGATAATCTTATGACTTGCTATCATGCCTCACAAATATATTATTCCTTGACTTTCAGATCATGTTTGCTATTAAAACTAATCAAACACACTTCAGTTATCCCCTGCTTCCTGACAGACCCATTCTAAATGGCATTTTTGATACTTGTTCACCTCATGGAGCCTGTACCATCCTTCTTAGCGTTAATTCCTGAACCTAATTCATCATTAACATTTACATGGTCTCGGTGTGTTAGCTCTCATCACAGGAAATTGTTAGAACATCATCGTGGGGTGTTGGACAGCCAGGCCGGTGCGTGTGGGATCAGAGAAAGAGGATGAAGGAGCTCTACCCTCCCACTTGGAGAGTCTCGGCAGAGGACAGAGGCAGCTGGACTGACTGGGAGGCAGAAGGTGTGCTTCAGGAAACTGCTTCTGGTGACATTTTTTCCCTGTGAGTTGGCAGGTCAAGAGTTGAGGAGTTACAGCTTGTCCCCACTGTTGATATTCTTAAGCAGGGAATGACATTTATCTCTCAACAGTCCCTCATTGTAAAGCCAAACCTGCTCCCTTCCCAAAACAACTTGCAGCGTTGTTCTGCTGTTATCGTGGTAAGTTATGAATGTGAGACATGTTGAATCACAACAACTCTCCTGTACGCAGTTGTTCTGAGTGCTGGAGAAATTTGTCTTTTGCCATGTATGGCATTTTTATGCTCCTATTTATTATGGGTGCAATGTTGGGGTCTTGATGGGATGGCAAGGAAGCAGGAAGCGCGCAGGCCGCTCTGGGATTTTAAGTGCAGACTTCTGGAGTATTCCGAGGAGTGTGGATCAGTTTATGATTCATCTGTGACCAATGTGTGAGCAGCACTTCGTGTCTGCACGTGTACTTAAGCTAAAGCATTTGATTCAATAAAATGCTGCATCCAAACCGGAATTGTACTTTCCCATCGTAGAATCATAGAATGGTTGGAAGGGACTTTTAAGATCGAGTCCAACCATCAACCCAACACTGCCAAAACCACCTCTAAACAATGTCGCTGAACACCACATCTACCTGTCTTTTAAATACCACCAGGAATGGTGATTCTACCACTTCCCTTGGCAGCCCGTTCCAATGTTTGATAGCCCCTTCTGTGAAGAAATTTTTCCTAATATCCATCCTAAACCTCTCCAGGTGTAACTTGAGGCCGTTTCCTCTTGTCCTACCCCTTGTTACTTGGGAGAAGAGACTGAGCCCCACCTCACTACACCCTTCTTTCAGGTAGTTGTAGAGAGTGATAAGGTCCCCCCTCAGCCTTCTTTTCTCCAGGCTGAACAACCCCAGCTCCCTCAGCCACTCCTCTTAAGACTTGTGCTCCAGACCCCTCACCAGCTTTGTTGCCCTTCTCTGGACCCGCTCCAGAATGAGAATGTCCCTCTTGTAGTGAGGGGCCCAAAGCCGAACTCAGTATTTGAGATGGGGCCTCCTTTTCTGCCTTGGTTTTACCCATCCCCAATTAGCCCCACTGAGGCTATGTCCCTGCACGTGGCAGCGCAGCTACGCCTCGCCAAACCCAACGTGGGCCAACATTTCCCAGTTGGGAAACCGAACGTGGGCCATCACTCCCCAGTGTGTGACGTGGGGGAGGAGGACAACCTCTTTAATGTCCTGTCGATGGGACGAAGGCCTCACACCCAGCCAGTGGCCAGGCCGCCACACCTTCTGGCCAGACGTGATGGCGGCCACCTGGGCCGAGGCTGAGAGGACCACGAGCTCCAGTGGGACCGGCAGGCAGCCCTTTCAGTCAGTGGGGGTGGGCTGGAAGGGTGCGGGGCCCCGGTAGCCGGTAGGACGGTGCCAGTGGGCGACACCACGGCCCGGGTGTCGCTGAGGGGAAGCGCCCCGCCCACCAGCCCGGCGGGGAGAAGGCGGGGCGGGGCTTATCGGAGGGGGCGTGGCTTCCGCCGGCGGTCGGGCCGGTTCCTGTGGGGGCGGGAGAAGCGCGCGCCGCACGTAGGCGGTGGCGG